AAAACAACACTGTTCTTCAACACTTGAAACAGGGTCCACTTCTGGGACCCCGTAAGGTTAGAATGCTGCAAATCCACATGACTGTCAAAATCAACTGACTGTAGCGACTCGGGCGGTGCAGGACTTTTTGGCCCCTCTGAAAATTCTGCCCCCAAAATGCGCGAGCACGTCACGGCTGTGAACAGTCACACGGCTGGAAGTGATGCCACGAACCACAATTGGCACGAATGTATCAGCAACTTCAACAATACTTCGGACGACTTCCACATCAGGCTGGTCACACATGCGTTCTACAATGGACTGACTCTTGTAGTCACAGCTGCGAGCAAAACCAGTGACAATCATCTCATAACCGGGTGGAATCGTAGTATTCTTTCCCAAGACGAGACGACTCACAGACGTAACCTCGGTTGAGGCCGCTCTCACAGACTCCGGTGGGGACAGCTCCATACACTTCCATCATAAACCAATCACTCATGGCTGAAAATTCTGCAGAAAGTGGACTCTCAAATACACGAAACCTCCGCGCTCTCGGAAACAAACAATAGGATTGCCCGTTGTACAGTTCCCAGCTGAATAGAAAGCACGGTCCTCCAAAGCACATAAAGAGGGCCTTGAGACGCAGTTTTTGTAATTTTTCTCAAGGTTGCAAAGATCTGTGCCTGGCCCGAGCCGCGGATGGCGAAAGAGCTTACCAGTTTGTTATGTGTGGCGTCTTTTTGCAGTACATTTGTCACTGATTTCTCCGAACTTGCCGTCTTTGTTAGTTGACTATGACAGCTGATATCGACAACCATTACCGGAGCTCTGTGAGCGTTGCAGCTCTCCTAACACGCACGTCCCCGCGGTCTCGTGCATCAATGGGAGGGCCGCGATCGTCCGAGCCGTCGGAGATGGCCTCCATTGACTTTCTGACGAATTTATCCACAACAGCTCGGGGTAATAAACATCTGTTTGTGTGTAAAGACCACTTCACTCGACAACGACACTTTTGCGACGTTTTTGCCCTGCCAGACATGTCCGCAACTACAGTTGCCACTTTGCTGGTTGATGGCCTGTTTGCCCCCTTCGGCTGCCCCAGGTATTTGCATTCCGACTGTGACGCCAACTTTCATAGTCAGGTGATGTCTGAGATGTGCAGATAAATGGGCATAAAAAGACCACCACAGCCTGTGGTCATCCTTAGGTTGATGGAAAATGTGAGCGCATGATGAGAACCATTTTGGACATGCTCTCCAAATACCTGGATGATGACCATGACGAGTGGAGTGTGCACTTGCCAACGTAGATGATGGGATATCGTTCGCAGGTGCACAAATCGTTAAGCTACAGCCCTTTCTTCCTCATGTTCGAACGTGGCCCTAAACTGTCGATTAACGCCGAGCTCGATGTACCTCGTGTGGGTCTGCGCAAAGCGTATCACTTTGCTATTAACAGGTCCGATGAGAGCAGCGCCAGAAACAAACGGTTATACGAGCGTAAACTGAACGAGTTTACTTACCAGTCAGGTGAAGTAGTGTCTCGGTTCAAGCGCGTCGCCAGGCGAGGCGAGTACTAAAAGCTCATTCAGGCATGGAAGCGCGCTGTTGTGGCCAACGTAGGCGATCTCAATTACAGGGTCCGGCTTGAGGACGGTAGTAAACTGTTGCTGGTACACCGCAGCAGGCAAAAATCCCGTCCTGTCCCCCCTGAGCTGCCGTGACGTCTGAGTTAAATGAGTGTGAACCTGTCGCTGGTCCCAGATCGGCGGAGCTGCAAAACAATGAGTCTGTCAAATTTTCCGACGTTGTCTCCTTACTGCTGGATGCAGATGAGATGAAGGCCGTGGGTTCCACTGACCGTTACTGTGACCTCGAGTCGGCCTTCGAGCACATACCTGTCTCGTGTCATGACTAGGTCGGGAATGCGACGGGCGCGGTACCTCCAGCTCCTAGGCCTCGCGTGTTGCAGCGCGCCGGGCGCTGGCCTGATCAGTATGGATATTGAGTCGTGTTCACCGGGACCTGATTTAGATGGTGTATGCTCTTTTTGGTCGGTGTACTTTCGTCAGTTTGTTTTTTATCTGTTTAAAGGTGTACTTAGTTCTTATCTGTTTAAAGGTGTATGATACTGTTGAAATCCGTGCTTCTAATAGCAGCGTTAGTTATAAAAAGTGATGCCAGTTTGTTTGGGCAATCGCGCGTTTGATGATGTAACCGCCTTTGCTGCTGTGAAACCTTGCCGTGGAGTTGGTGAAGTAAAATCGGCTGGAGATTGGCATGGGTCTTTGGTGCCGACAACTCATTGTCGTCTGTGATCCTTGTTCGATGGGGGATCAAAGCGCAGCTGGTATCGCTGGCCCGTGATCTGGTGGGCAGATCGGTGCTGATGGGCTGGTTTTGTGGGCAATGTTTGAGGGCTGAGAATATCATTTTGTTTTCGCTGGTTTCTCATGCTTATCTTTGTTTTCTAGCGTCAACGAATCGTCACTTACAATTTAATTTCTACGTCCCAGGGACCGGCGCATAATCGGCGGTCCCTCCACGTTAGCGGGATTGACGACAGAGTTTTGGGGAATCTCAGCGCCCGGTGTACGGTGTTGGTGCGCGGTGTCGGTGCGCGGTGTTGGTGCGCAGAGTGGTACGGCGCAGCATCGCGCGGCGAGCAATGTTCAGTTGCCGTCGCTTCTTGTGATCAACAACCGATGGTGTCACGTCGACATACTTATCATATTGTACTGTTCGGCTTCCTCTACCGTATAGGAGGAAAGAGTTGGCGCGCACGGGCCTGCCGCCGTCGGCTGCCGCATGACCCTGGGTCAGCAGGCGTCCGCCCGTGGCCGGCGGCGGTCGGTCATGTGACCGGGCGGCAAGGCTGGGACGGCGCTGGGCGCGCAGGGGAGGGGGATCGGACGACCGTCGCTGGAGGAGTGTCGTGGCTCGCGCTGCACCGCGAATACAATATGGAGAAACGTAGGCTTTATATATTCATGGCACAAATGCGCAGGAACACCTAGTGTACTCTGCTGCGATGCTTGTCCCTAGACATGAACAATAGAACACCTGCGCCTCACGTTGAATCGCCAGCGCCGGCAGAAGGCTGGCAAGATGACGCTCAATGCACGAGTGAGTGAGCTCCTTCGTAGGGTGGTGGTCAACTCTCGCCTTACGGGAATAGTCTCGGAGTAATCCTAGTTTTGATAATGTTATGTAAGCATGATAACTCTCCCCTAGTTGAAAAATAATCTCCGAACGCTTTAGAGCATGATACTGATTTTTGAGCCAGTGAGCTTACGTCATTTTAATCTATCTTGTAAAAAATTTGCTCCTTACCTCAGCGGTTCATAACCTGTGACCTCTTTCTGGTCTGGTCCGTTCTGGTCATGTCACTGACATTTTAATTATAACTGACGAAGTGCGTTTATTTCTTGCAGGAAATAACACTCTGAACCGGTTTTGCACTCCAAACCAGTCAAAACACTTTGACGTGCCTGAAAATCGTATTGGTTGTTCTTGCAAGGTCGGACCATCCAGCGTCAATGTAATTGAACTCTGTTGTGACAGCATTTAATTTTTAGAAAGATACGATCTGAAGCTTAAAAGAAGCTTTCCACCTTTGCATGGGGTTTTAAACTGAAACAGCCATCTTGAAGATCATTTGATGCAGTTTACAGTCTTGCGCCCTTCGAGACCTAAGTCCCTTTATATTTTTAGCTACACGTCCACGAAAATGGGGAGAGTATTGCAAGGTCACTCAAAAAAGCATCCGTGACGTCATTATAATAGCATTAAAATCCAACCATTCCATTAGCCATACGGCGATCAAGGGAAAAACATATAATTGTTGAGCCGTTCATATCTGGCGTTCGTGAGCACGATTTCCAGACATAACGACCGTCAATTGGCTTTCAATCCATGTCGTGCAAGATACAGTGACGTAATCAATGACGTATTGATGAACATATTAACTAAAGAGAAAAAGTGTGTTGTCTACACCAGTCTTTTCAACTTAAAAATATATGAATAGTCATAAACGAGCTAATTTGAACACATCTGATGCTTGCTTTGATACAAGCATGGAACATTCCCTTTAATGACACGTATCTTGCAGCTTTGGAAGGTGTTTTTGGGGCCCCCCAGGGTAGGTGGAACATTGGCTAGCAGCAGCGTTCCCTTGGAGAATTTCTAGATCCGCCGCTGCTTGAACCTGTGACTATATCAGCTGTGCACGTCTTCATCCTTGCCCTCAAACCCACAATGTTGGCATTGTCTCTGATGCAGATTTTATACGTTTTTGTCACAGCTCTATGGCCTTTTCCCAGCTTTAATGGGGCTGGAGGTCAATACCACCTTCAGATTTTTGTCAGTACCTCTCTGGGATGAGGTGCAATCACACCAAAACTTTTGGCAGCATTCATTACGGTTCTTTGAGACAAAAAATGCCTCCCTAGGCAATTTTTTCTGTTCTGTTTTTTAAACTGTTTCTGTTCTGAGTAGACATTTCAAAATAAATTAAACTTTGTGGCAACCTCGTGTCGGAGCGGGCAGCGGTCGACATTCGATGCATCTGCCGATCACGGACGGCCGAACCACGCTGCTACATTCACCGGACCCGGCATCATAAATGTTTACTGACAAAACGTAACATCATCTCAACACACGAATTTGAACAGTGTCAAATCAAGATGAAATTGTCCGATTGTCTTAAAATCTGGCTTCCGAGAAGCCCCTGTGCAGTCATATATCGTCTACCGCGAATATATTGTCGAAGAATACACGTTGATTTTTCACGCTGTTCTATCGCTACTCGCTCGAAAATGGCATGCAGTAGCGTCGACCCCCTCCCCCACTCCCCCGTCTCCCTTCGTTTGCGTTACGAAAGGTGGCGAATTCAGGGGAAGTTCACTATTTCCAACCATCTATGCATCGCGAGGCAGAGGCCCGCCATCAGACGGAGAACCGTGTCAGCTGAAAAAGTGAAAGATATAAAGGCGGACATGCGCAGTCCTTTCACTCACATTAGGTGCCGGCATCTCACTCTGAACAGGTAGACACGCTGCTGAGGACGTGGAGCGGCGTCCGCGGGTGGCGCTAGTGCGGTGTCTGATACTATTTCGGAGGCGTGGCGCGCTCCATAGGCTCGGCGGCGACAGTGCGGTCCCGGTGTGCTCATCACTGGCGGTGGAGTCGACTGGCGTCACCGGCTGCAGGCCGTCTCTGCGACTGGTGACCTGCCGGCCGGTGACCCAGGTCCGCCAGGCCGCACCGGTCGACAGCGGTGCGAGTGACTCCGTGCGCCGCTGGGACTGCCAGCTGGCGGGGGAGTGACCGGGCCAGGGGCGCCGAGCTGGCGCCGGTCGCTGTGTGTGGCCTGGACTTGAGCGCCGCCAGTTACGCTGTAGACTCTCCTGATACTGAAGGCGTCCCGGACCGCAGGACTCCTGAGCTGACGCACCGTCGTCATGAAACGGTTAACAGCCAGAAGGATAGCATCCACATCCTAGTCACAACTATTCGTTGCGTTTGGTGGTCGGCCACCGAAATTGTCGATTCATGCCTATCGCATCAAGAAATGGAGCGACTTAATGACGCACACTACGCTGATAACACCTTGCTAGCAGTTATAACGAGGATCCAGTCACCAATATCCGTTTAGTTACGTTGGACGACGTTTAGTGCAATCACCAGCTTAGTCACTTCTTAACAAAAAGTCGAGACAACTTCACAAGCTCAGTAGTATACGGTGCTTTACCCAGTACCAACTCCTTGAAAACATGGCGATATCTACAATTTTACATATGTGATCGTCGTCGGTTTTCTGTATCTGGAGAGGGTGTGAACTGATATTTGATCCATGCACCATGTCAGATAATCAGTGCTATCATACTTTCCACACTCAATGAGCAGCGGAAAGCGGGCGGCGTTTTTACGACATCGTGTTTGGTTCGATGTTATCCAGAACGCCCTCTGAGTCTCAGCCCTGTGGGGCGCGGGCCGATGGCAACGAACAGATGCGTAACATTGTGTAGGCGGCCATGGAACATCCCACCCGAATTCCGTGCTGTCAACAGTCCATGTTTCAGCAGCGATTGTCCAGGTGTTTACCAAAGCTTGCGGATTGAGGTGTTGGCATGTGTTTGACACTGGCGTCGCTGTAACTGTTGTTGCTGCTGTTTCAGATTTCGCCATGAAGCTGATCGTCTGCATTGTGCTGGCTGTGTCAGCCATGGTGGCTGCCGACGAGGGCTTCTTTCCCCAGTCTGCCCAGTCGGCGCCCGATACCTACAGCAACTACAACTATAACAACTATTACGACTACCAGCCTCCCAAACAGACCGGGTAAGTCCGACTGCGACGTTTGTACGTTCCGGTACACTGATGTGATGTGCTAAGGGTCCAAAAATGCAAATGACATGATTGTCCTCATGGAGGGTAGATGTGCCCTGATAAAATCCAAGTGTGCTCTTCGACAGAAGCGTGCAGTGGATCGTGGTCATGGACCGTCGGCAGTCCTCTAGGATTTTGGATTAAGTTTGCCGGTCGGGATCACGGGGTCACGACCTCACCACGACGTTTCATGCACTATTTGAAAGTCGTTCTCACGTGGCACGGTTCCAGGGTTCGGACAATGACGTGTGGGTTGAAATGCATGCTACGACATTTAAATCTTGAATGATGTGAAGCATTGGGCTCCGTGCCGTAAACAGCTTGGTTGGGGTCAAAATGAAGTGACTACCGCGCTAAACTGCCGTATGAGAGGACATCGCGGAACTGTAGATCACTCTCGAACAATAGATTAACTTGCCTGGTTTGTTTCAGGTGGCTGGACCGCCTGTTCGGAGCTACCCGACGTCAGGGATTGGGGGGCCTCCTCGGAGGACTTGGTGGAATTGGAGCCGTCGGTGAGAAACCTCTGGCATTTATTTACATGACGTCATGAGTGATACGGAAAGTTGTTATGCGTGCCCGGCACCTTTGAAAATGACATTTGAAACACTGTCTAGGTAGACTAGCTCTGTGCCGCGTGACGCTTGCGTGACGTGCCGCTACGCCGATGACAAGTTGATTTGGCAGTGATTGTGCCGATCTGAGGCCTCGTTGGTGCTAAGATTTCTGAACCATGCACGAGCCGTGACCGGCTCTCAACGCGGGTGAAGAGGCAGCTGGTTTTGCAGGCCTATTCGAATAACAGACGGCTGCGTCGGTAACGCTGCTGTCGATGTTACCAGGCCCCATCATCGGAGTGGTGGTCGCCGTCGTTGCTGTGATCGCGGTTGTGGCTGGCATCGGCTACGTCGTCACCACCATCAACTCATCCGGCCGAGGCCTGGACACGGACGATTGGGAGGTGAACCACTCGGTCTGGATGGACCAGCTGCAGCGGGACTTCGAGGACTCGTGGTCGACGCAGTAGGCCTGAGACGTACATCATTTGCAAACGTCGCAGTTGGCACGCGCGGAATCCATCGCGCGCCGCAGGCTGCGTAGCATGTCTCGATCTCGGGGAGACGTGTTCTGTTCTCCGAAAATTGCTCACTGAAGGGATCAGAAGCTCTAACTCGATTTGCCCTGCGGCCCATTAACATGCTCTCTAGTCAAGTCATTCAAGTTGAGATTGGGGCCGTGGAATCTGCACACACAGGATTTTGCAACGTTCCAGCCCACAAATATGCTACCGATTTTAGGGGGGCTGAAAAACGTGACCAGCCTTGCCCTATACAACTTCTGCTGGCTTATTTGCTATTTTTCTGAAAAGTTTGGCCCAATGGTTCAGAAAGCGGTCCTATCTAGCTACCATCATAGGTACCTTATCAAGATACATAGCAGAGTCCGTGTTGCTCACCTGTGTGTGACATCATATTTGTTTAGCTCACCTCAAATAGAGTCGGTGTTGCTCACCTGTGTGTGACATCATAACTTGTTTAGCTCACCTCAAAACGCATATGCCGCCGCGTGCACTGAACGCACTACGCTGGTATAATCAAATTGTTGGTATGCCACTGGCGACGGATTGAAATTGTTTGCGTTGTCTTTCAGTCCTGTTGTTATGGTGAGCTGAGTTTTGCTAAAGCACCAGATGTCATGAGTATTGATGACCCATCTGGTTGTGCAACGTTGTTTTGTTATTTTGTGCTGTTGCGCGCTGTTGTTTGTTGCGTTGGAGATATGGCAAGCCTGTTACGTCTGTGTTGCTGATATATGCTGCTGACCATTACAATATGTGTCACGTTTCTGCAAGGCGTGGAGTCGATGGCCTGGTTAGACAGCCAATGGGCTAAATGAGGCAGCTTAAACCCTGCTACGAAACCATTGTGCTGTTATTACCGGAGACGCATGGAGCAGCTACGCGAAATACATTCTCCAACACTCACTTAAGCTGTTTCAATGCGCGAACGGCTGTTCATTTCTACATTTAAGAACCCGCATGTTGCGTTCAGCTGACAACCTGACAATCTAGCTGACAATTCAGCTGACAACCTGACAATCTGAGCTGACAGTTCAGCTCACAATCTGAAGCCTTCGGAGCAGTTGATCAAGAACGCCTCAAAACGGTCACTAGGCCGTCAGTCAGCTTCTCTCGGGGAGAGAAAGTGAAGTGATGTCATATTCATGGGGTGGAATCAGGGCCCACGGGAGGTAAGAAGAAAACAGTGCCAGGACTTTTAAGGTACTAGGTAACAATGGGCATCGGGACCGCGGACGTAGCACGCAGATAACCACGATTGCCATTCCAGCTATGCCGCGTTCTTCTCGTCAATGTGCAATTCATGACCTTGGGTTTCCAACGTGTCTAGAGAGCCTCAGAGATGAATCTGACGTAGAATGCTTTCTAACAGATTCTGCTGAACCGGCAAAACTCTTGCATGCTGGAAACACAAATATCTGAAATGTTGCAGAAAATTTGACCCTTGTCATCCCGCCGAACACTTAAGATAGTCCTGGATTTGCTGTCTCCAATATCGCGCAAAAAGTAGAACTTTGAAGACTGCCGATGTCTGCAGGCATGCTAAACATGCTGAGCAGAACGGATTGAACGTAAAGCGCCGTGAGCGGTTAACACCCCCAAACATTCCACGTTTACCTGAAATTCGGAAAATAAATTAATGCACAATGAGATACGCATAGCCAAACAATTCCGATACTTATCCACACACTTATCATGCGCGTGGCCTTCAAACTACTGCCCGAGTTAGGCCAGGCAATGTCTATTTGTCGTCTCTACCATTCGTGCTGACCAAACCTGTTCTAAATTCCTCTGCGCTCTGGACTGGGGCTGGTGACGAGACATCTTGTGGATTCCAGTGTATTGCTCTTGGGTTTATTGGTATTGGTAATCGACAAAGAGATTTGCCTTATTATCAGTGAGTCAAGGTGGCATTAAACCATGGCCGACGCTGCATGGGAAGCAAATGAAACGTAGCATGCTTTGCCAACTGGCTATAGGCAAGCCTCTAAGATAGGCCCAATGTACACCATAGACTTGTTTATATTAGACATTACTTGCAGCAAAATCGATCATGCCACGTTGGATTCGGAATCAGGCCATAAATCTCTGAACCACAGTCGAGGTAGGCTCATATTGGACTGAGCCGCTAGGAGACTGATTCGGAATCAGGCCGTACATCACTGAACCACAGTAGAGGTAGGCTCATATTGGACTGAGCCACTCGGAGCCTGATTCGGAATCGACTCCAGCACTGAGACAGGCCTACCACCTATTAGTGCGAGTGGCGTACGGCCGCTCAGGTCGGCGACCGCCGGGGCGACGCGAGCGAGCCACGCGACGGAAACGAGAGAGCTGTGGGACGGACTGCGCGGGCCTGGCGCATGACGCGCTCGGCCCGCAGGCGGGGGAACTGTGGAACAGACGGCAGTGGTCTGGTGCATGAAGAGCTTGGCTCGCAAGCGAGAGAACTGTAGAACGGACCACTCTGGTCTGATGCATGACGAACTTGGCCCACAGACGAGACAACTGTGGAACGGACCGCTCTGGTCTGATGCATGACGAACTTGGCCCACAGACGAGACAACTGTGGAACGGACTGCAGTGGTCTGGTGCATGACGAACTTGGCCCGCAAGCGAGGGAACTGTGGAACGGAACGCTCTGGTCTGATGCATGACGAGCTTGGCCCGCAGACGAGAGAACTGTGGAACGGACGGCACTGGTCTGGTGCATGACGAACTTGGCCCACAGACGAGGCGGCTGTGGAACGGACCGCTCTGGTCTGGTGCATGACGAGCTTGGCCCGCAAGCGAGAGAACTGTGGAACGAACCACTCTGGTCTGATGCATGACGAGCTTGGCCCACAGACGAGACGGCTGTGGAACGGACTGCACTGATCTGGTGCATGGCGAACTTGGCCCACAGAAAAGACAGCTGTAGAACAAACTGCACTGGTCTGGTGTGACGAGCTTGGCCCACTTACGCGCCGGATTTGCCTCCGATCATTTATCTCGACTGCCAGCAGACGCGGCGCACCGCCGGCGTTCCTCCGACACGCCCCGCCGTCGGGAGACCGATTCACACCGACACGGTCCATCGCACGGCCAAGGTCTCCAAGGCCATCAATCCGAGCATCAACGCTGGCGATGGCGCGCGTGAACGATGACAGCGACAGCAGACGGCGGGAAAGGCGTTGGGCGACAGAAAAGGACGGGCTTAGGAACCGGGCAGGGTTCCGCTAGTTTTGTTGCAAGCGCCAGGACTGTCTCCGCATCTCGGACCGACGAGCCATGGTGCGGTGCCGCGCACGTGCGCCGACTGAATCCTGACGCGAATGTGAGCGTGACATCGCCCTGTCCGAACGGAAAGCATGATGCACGCGTACGCGCACGCACGCACGCACGCACGCACACGAAAAAAAAACACACACGCACGCACGCACGCAGGCATGCACGCACATACACGCACGCGTACACGCACATGCGCACGCACATGCACACGCACATGCACACACACACACACACACACACTCACACACACACACACACACACACACACACACACACACACACACACACACACACACACACACACACACACACACACACACACACACACACACACACACACACACGCAGGCACGCACGTACAAGTGAACCCACTCAATGTAACACCTCAGACTAGGGACGACAGTTCGTATGGTTATGGGGTCTTATGCTGAACATAATTGGCTTTAAATATACTAGGATAACTGCTAACTGCTAACATAGCTGGCTTTTTGAATATCTAGTTAATCAGATATATCAAGCAGCCACAGCTGTGAAGTATGAGAAACTTCACATTTCAAGGCCGTGCTCTTCGGAGCAGCTCCAGACATAGTGTCCAAAAAAGTTAAGGAAAGGTGGAGCCAACAGACTGGGTCTGTGTGAAGAGTTCGATTCTCGATGGCGTGCTATAGAAACAGGCAAATGTCGCCGATCGATCGAACTGGTTGCGCGACCCTGGGTGGCGTGAGCCAGAGGTCCTGGTTTAAAGGCCACTATGGTCGGATCAGCCCCGGAAACCATGGGATGTCCAGCTGGCAGCATAATTTATCCCACCAGCACTAATGAGCTGAAAGAAAATGCGTCGGGGAACGCAGCATAAGGACCGTTTGAGAGAACAAATTGGATATTTTACCTGGGATAAACAGACCGTAGCAATCAAGACTGATCTAATAACACCTGCAGTTTGCGGAGTTTAAGCATGTTTGCGGATAGCGCATACACAACTAGGGGAGCAGAGAAATGCGCGGCATTGGAGCATACTAGCCCACGCATCTTAAACCTTATACGTTCACCTTCTAATGTCTTATTTGTCTCAGCTTAACTTGTAAATAACTTTATGTTGTGCTTAAATAAAAAAACTATCAACGATAGTTCCGCGACGACACAAGACAACGCGGACCTCAATAGTACACTCGCTGCACGTAAGAAGCCGCGTCAGAGGCCAAATACTAGAGTATTTTACGACCTGGGTAAGCTCATGGGCACCCGCATGGAATGGGTGACGGCCCCGGCTCGATAGAAATTTGGAGAAAATCATGAAAACGGGAACGGGCATGTGTAGGACTTAAGCAAAATGTCGGATAGGTACTTAAAAATATCGCGACTGCTTGGGCCTCGTTGGCGATCATTGGCTCAGTTCGCAAAACTTTTGTATTAGTCACGCAATGGCGCAGGTTTTGTTTTAAACGTTACCAAAACCTTTCCATAACTTACAACGAGTTTGCTAGGAAAATACCACCGGGCTGGCAGCGAGTGGTTGCAATCGATTGGCGACCGGTAGCGTGTTTGTATAAGCGCCCCTGGACAGCGAAATGGTTAGCGGAAAACGTACCCTGGCAAACGGAAAGCGTACCCGGGAAGACCTCTCCTAAATCTGTAGCGTCGTCATGGAGGCGTGATCTCAGCAGCGTTTTTATAGGTGAGATATCTGTTATAGCGAGTTACTGTCTACCTTTTGTGTTTGGCGCAGGGCATGGGAACCTGTCGGCTTAATACGTCTGTGTTTCGAGCAAACCTTAGTGCAGCGCCCTGCGTCAGGGGCTAGAAAGTGAAAGCCTGGACAGCTGCGCTGACGCTGCTCCGCGAATTAGAACAGAATTCTCGAAATCCAATAAGTTCCAAATTCCGAAAATCCACCTCTCGCCCGCCGGAGGGAGTGGGGGAGACATGCAAATTCTTGGCCCGGAATAGGGATATCGCAAAGCCCGCTGGGAATCATGGTTGATTATTTTTTGGGGTTTATATCAGATCAATTTCTAAGCCAAAGACGCGTTCTTTTTCGTTGCTTGAACCTGGCTAGATTTCCGGTGCGTTAATTACTTGTTGGTGGTGATGGCAACCGGGATGGAGGGAAGGGAGGGGGAGACTACGGCCATCCCCAGGGCAGGGGTAGCCGTCAGCAAACGGGGTTCGGGGGTCGTAAGACACAAATTAACGGCAGGTCCGGCACAGACCGGCTACTAACTAACCAACGGGCGAGGGGCCATAAACGTGAGTGGCTTAAGTGAAGGTACTATATTTACGGCCCCCAGTCAGACCGACCAGCCCCATTGGCCCCCTGAGTTATTACGGTTTCTCCTTAGGTGTATGGGCCACCCCGCGCCCCGGGTGTGGCCGATTTTAACCAAAGCATCAGCAAACCACAGCTCCGGCACAGTCTCTTGCGCCTCAGAGGAGGTCGGAAGTTAACATACATAGCTTCGGAAATGATGATGTGCCACGACAAACCACAGGATGTGTGTTTGGACGACCAACGCGAACACAAAACAGGTCAAACCAAGGAGGTGGCACCCATGACACACAACAATGTTTCGTAGGCAGAGACTAAACTTAACGCTTGACATAGCGTACTTTTAAGCTAAGCCCCCATGAGATTCACCT